GATTGTAACAAAAAGATTCAGGAATCTGTGATTGCTGATTGGCCTCTTTCTATAAAAACAGGACAATTCGACCATCAGAAAGATCATAAGAACTACAATTTCTAAAAGCCGTTAAATATGTTTAAGTCCATGAATTCATCATATTTTATAAGCAAGCAAATAATCGGTCTCCTTTGCTGGAGACAGGAAATTAGTTTGAAAACTGGTAAATGAAAGGGAAAATCAAGCATCTCTTTTGCATTTCATAAACTACAAAGTATGTGTTAAGGTAATGAAACAAGGTATACAAGGAAGTTTGTTTTGTTTTTTAAGAAGTGTTGCAGCAAATAATTGAAGAAAGGATTACAAATTTGAGTATTGGCATTTAGTAAGCTCTAATGATTAATGGATGTAGGCATTGATTAGCAATGGCCGTAGCAACATAAAAGGAGAAACCACTAGATGATAAACAGTTTCCTTAATGGATGTAAATAACACCAAATAGGAGGCCGAGTTCAGTGGCTTATGCCTGTAAATCCCAGCACTCTGGAAGGCTGAGACAGGTGGATCAATTTAGCTCACGAGTTTGATACCAGCCTGGGCAAGAGTGAGACCCTGTCTCTAAAAATACCCAGGCATTGTGGCAGGCGTCTGTAGTCCCAGCTACTCTGGAGGCTGATGCAAGAGAATCACTTTTCCCAAGAGTTTGAGGTTGCTATGAACTATGACACCAAGGCACTTTACCAGGGGCAAGAAAGTGAAACTCCGTCTCAAAAAATAAACAAGTAAATAAATATTCCAAATATGCCGTAGCATCTACCTGCCCTCAATCTCCCAAACCTATATTTAAGAAATCTTAACGGCTCATTATTTTGTCTTATTGACCGCAAGACAAATTGTAAGAGTTTAAAAAAATGGCAGGCTGAGGTGGGAGGATCCTTTGAGACTAGTCAGAGCAAGAGTGAGACCCCATCTCTACTTAAAAATAGAAAAAAAATAGCTTGGTATTGTGATGGGGGCCTTGTAGTCCCAGCTACTAGGGATGCATGAGCCCAGGAGTTTGAGGGTGCTATGAACTAGGATGATGCCAACGCATCACAGCCTGGGGCAATAGAGTGAGATGAGTGGAGTTATGAATTAAGTTCACATACCATCAAACATTATGAAGTTTCAGGTTTGGAGGCCTCCATTATCTCTGATGGTAGGGATATGTGATGGTGCCACAAAACAAATTAGTTGAAATTTTTTAGAGGACTAGTTTATCCTGCAGATTCCTGTCTGACCCAGACTAGAGGAAGGGGACTGCCCAAAGACTGGAGGTTTACTGGCTAAGGTAGGTGTATTAACCATATTAAACTCTAACGTAAGTGAGGGTAGAGGAAACAACAAAGTAATGAAGGGCAGTTAAGTCAAATGGTGAGTCATCTAGTCTTCTACCCATGATCATTTCCCAAAGCACTGGCAGTTTTATTTTAAGTAGGAGGTACATACATTCTGGGATACTGGCTTGCCTAAAAGAAAAAACGTGGATAAGGCCACGTTTGGATAAGGCCATTTGTGGATCTCCCAGCAAAATAGCCAGATATCTGCTTGATCACATTACAGTGAAACTCATTAGTTGAAAAGCTCTGACCATGCACCCATCTGCACTATTTTTGACCAGTATTTTTGTGTCCCACAAACAGTGATCATTAGATATTTGGAGAGATCAACATAGTTGAGATCAAAACAGAAACAAGAGGAACCTGATGGGATGATCCCAATGCTGGGAAATGGGGATCAACTTTACAAAATTTAATATTTTTAGTGATAAAAGGATTATATCAGTGATGTAAGAAAAAAACTTCTTGAGAAAGGCTTTTAGAAGTTAAAAATACTACAGCAGAAATTTAAAAACTCAACAGGAATAAAACAAACATATCTTAGTAGGAGGGAACATCAAAGAGATCAGAGGGTAGTCCTTTAAGGTATTCAATACTGAATAAAATTTCAGAAAGGAGTTCCAGAAAGGAAAAATCAAAAAGCAGAAAGTTATCAAAAAAAAAGTAATACAAAGAAAGATTTCTCAGACCAGTAGGGCATGGATGTTGCTCATATATATGGAAATAATACCTAGTAAATGAGGAGAGAATTTATACCAAGTACTTCACACAAAATTCTAGAAATGTGAGGAGAGTAAGATCCTAAAGCTAACAGAAAATAAACAGGCCAAAAATAAAAAAAAATAGGGGCTAGAGAGTGTCATCAACAATAGTTGATAATTTCAAGGGCAATTCCTTGAAAATTCTAGGGAAAATAATCAGTAACTCAAAAATTCTGTAGCCTACCAAACTACCAAATGTTACTGCAATAAGGATAAAGACACTCTTCTAATCCATAAGAACTCAAAAATTAATTTCTCCCTTTTCTCAGTAGTGCTGGAGAATGTGTGTTCTTCACTAAATGAGATACTAAAGGAAAGAACAATGTGAAATTTATAGAATGTATTTCAATTCAGGAAAAGAATAAGAAGACTAACAGAATGATGACAAAGTATAGTCCCATAATGACTTGTAAATGACAGATTTGAGGGTTACCAGTTCACTTTGGAACAGGACAGAAGATAGTATTTCCAAGAGAACAGAAAACAAACTTGATGGATGACTTTATATGTTTGAGTATATCTAGAGGAGATTTATACTTTTGTTGTAGAGTTAGCTAAATGGTAGATAATATAGAAAAAAGGAAAAGAGAAAAGAAAGTAGTTATGAACCCTAGGAAAAGCAAGAAACCATACAAGAAGAGTAATCTTAACGTACACAGTTCAGCTGTGATCACTGTTTTTGTAGTTACAATGTTAACACTGTTGTATGTGTGTATCAAGTATTGACACATTGAAAAGGATAATATAGACAGTGAAGGTAGCAAAGGGGATGGTAGTAGTGGTATATAGAAAAAAAATCTGTCTTCTGCGGTAACAAAAAATCACTGGAGGCTGGGCACGGTGACTAACGCCTGTAATCCCAACACTTAGGAGGCGGGTGGATTGCTTGAGCTCAGGAGTTCAAGAGCAGCCTGAGCAAGAGAGAGACCCCTTCTCTAAAGGCATTGTGGCGGGCGCCTGTAGTCCCAGCTGTTCAGGAGGCTGAGGCAAGAGAATCACTTACGCCCAGGAGTTTGAGGTTGCTGTGAGTGGTGACGCCACAGTACTCTACCAAAGGTGACAAAATGAGATTGTCTTTAAAAAAAAAAAATTATTGGAAAATATCTGAAACCAAAAAAATTAAGAGTGGTATAAGGATGTTATTTAAAAGTAAAGAGGTAAATATTAGAGGAAACAATCAAAAAGGATTTGATAAATACTTTTGAGAAGCAGAAATTAAGAATGGGTATTTCTATAGTTTTTCTTTATAAGACTAGAATATTTCTTGTGGTGGGTGCCTATAGTCCCAGCTACTTAGGAAGCTCAGACTAGAGAATCGCTTAAGCCCAAGAGTTTGAGGTTGCTGTGAGCTTTGATGTTACGGCACTCTACCCAGGGCAACAGTTTAAGACTCTGTCTTAAAAAAAAAAAAAAAGACTAGATTATTTCTTAAAGTATGTACATACATTACTTTGATATTAAATTTAAAAATGTATCACCACTGACCAAAGACAGGTAAGTAGTGCATGGTTCTATAAAACAGTCTCCAGGAAAAACAAAATTTAGACAAATTCTCTAGTATTAAGTACTTCAGAGATTATAACTGGAGTTGCTGAGTATTTATCTGAGCATTGCCTAGAAATACGTGAAGTAGCTTTTGGACTAGATTTTCTAACTTGACATTGGCCAGAAACCTAACCTTTACTTAGAGAGCTTTTTGTCTAAAAATGGCTTCCTAAGATAGGTTTCAAAGTGAAAGAATGCTGTGTAAATAGTTATGTACTTACTGAGTAAATGAAACCAACTCACCACCCTTAGGGCATAAAGACATATCTCTATAGCACAGCAATTCTAGGGCCAACTAAAAGAAAATGGTGGTTATTTCTAAGAATGTAGCTGGGTACCTACCATACATCTTTAGTTTGGTGGTTTAAGCACTTTTAAAAATCAGCCTATTGTCTTTTAAAAATACATCAATGTGTAAGGCAGTAACTTTCTCCAACTCAGTTCTCTCCATGTTATAACAATTCTGAGTGGATGGGTAATATTGTGAAACCAGTTATAACTTAAAAGGAAGTTAGTGTGCTGTTAAGTAGAAAATAGGCCATTACCAACTGAATAATATAAGAAAACCAAAATATATATAGTCTTGCAGTTCAAGAAACAGGCCTCCTGATTAGTGTGATTTATTTTGAACAATGTCAGTAGGCCTTCTGTGGGGCAAGCAAGGCTTAAGTTTAAAAAACAGTTGTCATTTGTACTGTAGACAAGTCATAAGCAAAATAGCACCCACATTGCTAAAACAGAAAGCTGTTCCTGTGAACACTCATGCTTTCCCTTCTGATTGTAAAGTTTGAGGAAAAAGAAGAGTACTTGAAATGGGTACCACTGGCTGAATGATAATTCCCACAATTTATGGTTGATAAGGGCTCATGGCTCCAGGTCTCCTGGTTGGCTCCTACTTGAGATGAGTTAATGGTACTGTTTTTTAGATAATAAGCTGGATATGAAATATTAATTGCATTGTTGACATTAAATAGCTTGATTTTGTGTGTGTGTGTGTATACCTTTTGTTACAAGATAGTTTAAGTTTGCACAAGATGCCAGAAAATGTTGACTAGAATTTTAGTATTCATATGCTCTGAGCATAGCAGTTTTATATTTTTCACCAGTTTTTTCTGTTGTGGCCTTTTAAAAATATTTTCCTTGTATTTGTAGCATAACAAGAAAAGATGAAATTAGCATTTGGGAAAATTGTTTAAATGGAAATACTATTACTTGAAATGTAACTTTTCTACATATTTTAATCCTTGCCCATATGCTAGTATCAGTGCTGGTTTATAGCCTTTTAAGTAAAAATTAACGCAAAGTTACCAAGTCCTTTTATGTCTTTGTTCAGGAAACTCTTCAGACATTGGAGCAGAACGAAAGGAAAATGAAGCAATAAAGATATATAAGGTTTGTTGAAATAAATAATTTTTTCTTAGATTATACTACTTTGTGATTACTTAGTATGTATCGTTAGTGCCTCAGGTATATAAAAACATTTTAGTACATAACAGTCATGTACCTATTATGGAAGTATTTTTATTTGCTCTTTCACTGACTACTTTTTACTTTTCTAGCCTCAAAGATCAAATCGATGTTCAAGTCATTGCTTCAGAAATTTTTTCTCCAATATATTTTCTTCTAGTAGTCAAACTGGAGAATCTTCTTTTACCCGTAGAGCTTATTGGTTAGTATTTTCTACTTTTAATTGATGCTGTCTATACGGTTGATGTTTTAATCATTATGGTTGATTAACTTTTGGTAGAAATTTTAACTCTGGGCTCAATAAAAATTATGAAAGACCCACCTTGTTTTTGGTTTGGGAGAATAAACTAGCTGTAAGAGAAAACCAGAAAACCTGTTGTTATGTGAGCTTTTCTGTTATCCAGTAACTATCTATGCCAGTGGACTTTATTTTCATTAAGAAGTTGTTCTACTACTCAAGCTTTTTATGTACTAGAAAAGTAGGCTACTTACTAAGTTATAGTGGTAATAGTACTTAACAAAGAACTCTTAGAGCATATCCAGTTATGTGTGAATACTAGTGACTGGCATGTAGATAACAAGTAAATGTTTGTGGCGTTTGAGATTAAATTACAGTTTTAAATCCTGAATTAATAGGACAGAATAAGATTGTGTGATTTAATTTTAGGGCTTGGCAAGATGTCAAAGACAACAGTTGTGTCTTAGTAGTCTTTTGAAAAGCTGAACTATGCCCATATGCCCATATTTGGATGCAGTAACCATATCCTCCTTTATTTTCTTCTTTTGTCTGAGACGTAGTTTCAAGTGGCAGACTGTTGCACCTAGAATACCTTTCTTTTAATAAGGAGGATATTCGTATGAATTGACTTTTTTTATCCTATCACTTAATATAGAAATTCAAGCATTATTTTTAGGAATCAAATAATTACAAATCTGATTTGTAATATACAAATTTTATTTATTTTAGGAATAAGGTTGTATTTAGAAGAAAAATATTCTCATTTTTGTATGTGTGATCTATAATACTAAGTATAAAAACTGCTGCTACTCTTGATAATGACCCAATTCTTTCTTTGAACTTAAAATTTTGAAATTTTGATTAAGATTAATTTTGATTTTGATTAAGATTTTGATTTTGATTAAGATCTAAAATTTATCTTTTAGTACAGAATTTATAGAAGTCAATGAAATCAGTGCACTGATTAGGCAGAAGAGACAGGAACTGGAATTATCATGGTTTCCTGATACATTACCTGGGATCGGAAGGTAAAACAAAAAATTACTTATTGTAGTGTTTCAAGGCTAATGTGAGCACAAGATATCATTAAATGGGGTAGGAGTAACTTTGTGCCAATTAAATGTTGGTGTTTCAAGCACCTCATGAAGATTGCTATTTAAAAGACCTCTTGAAAAGAAAAGAATCCTAGGCAGCACCTGTGGCTCAAGTGGTCGGGCGCCAGCCCCATCTATCAGAGGTGGTGGGTTCAAACCCGAGCCTAGCCAAACTGCAACAACAACAAAAAAATAGCCAGGTGTTGTGGCAGGTGCCTGTAGTCCCAGCTACTCGGGAGGCTGAGGCAAGAGAATCGCCTAAGCCCAGGAGCTGGAGGTTGTTGTGAGCTGTGACGCCACTGTACTCTACCGAGGGCGACAAAGTAAGACTCTGTGTCTAAAAAATAAAGGGAAAGAAAGAAAAGAAGAGAATCCTTAATTTATCTGTGTAATAAGTATAGGTATTTATATGCTAAATTTAAAAGGGAGTGCACCAGAGTAGTAAGACTCATTGTTAGTAATAGCGTTTAAGCCTGTCTTCCTTCCCCTACTCTTACCTGTGTGCTGTCAGCTGCAGCATTGCTGTTATCATATTTCCCTGCCCATGCTGGAGTACAGTGGCATAATCATAGCTCACTAATAACCTCGAACTCCTGGGCTCAAGGGATCTTCCTGCCTGAGTCTGTCAAGTAGCTGGGTCTACAGGCTCACACCACTATGCCTGGCTATTATTTCATGCAGGTCTCAAATTCTTGGTCTCAAGGGATTCTCCCACCTTGGTTTTGCAAAGTGCTGGGCTTACAGGTGTGAACCCTGTTCCTTGGCCTCAGAAATATTCTAAAAAATTTGATCAAGTGTCTTGTATTCATGACTTTTCGTAGTCTAGTTCTTTCTTAGTTTTAAGTCCTCAGCGTACTAGCCCGGTGCTAGGTACATAGTATTAGGGCTGTCCAGAAAGTATGCCTCTCTTTTTCATAATGCACAACTGGATACTTTCTGGACAGCCTTTGCATATATTTAAATCAAGCTCCTAAATGCAGATCAGGGCTCCTTGCCTGAGTTTTATGTTCACCTATATAACATATTATGACTTTATTTTATATGTCACTATTATATAGTTCTGTGTAGGTAGGGCCTTTACCCTCTAGGAATGACAAAGTAGCATAAATAAAATTGGCTCGGCGCCTGTAGCTCAAGTGGCTAAGGCCCCAGCTACATATACCAGAGCTGGTGGGTTCGAATCTGGCCCAGGCCTGCAAACAACAATGACAGCTCCGACCGAAAAATAGCCAGGTGTGGCAGGCGCCTATAGTCCCAGCTACTTGGGAGGCTGAGGCAAGAGAATCCCTTAAGCCCAGGAGTTGGAGATTGCTGTGAGCTGTGATGCCATGGCACTCTACCCAGGGCGATAGCTTGAGGCTCTGTCTTCCAAAACAAAAAAATTAGGAAGCCTGGATAGGTATTCTGTGAAATTGTTCTTTACAGTTATATATTTTTCTACATGTACAAGTCAGATTTTTTTTTCTTCCAATGTCTATACAACAGAATCTTGCTGTATACTGAATCAGATAGTCTTTTATTTGGAGACCTAAACTGAATAAAGATAAGGGGAAAAAAATAAGCCAGAGAAATGATTGAGTTTGAATGTAGAAAAATGTGGGGCTTTTAATAGGTCCTTAGAGACTATGAACATTGAAGAGCCGTCCTCAGAGCAGGAATTTTAGAAAACAATATGGTGATAGAAATACATTCATTTGTTGTCTGGAAAGGAGGGAGAAGAGTGCAGAGGAACATGAGGACACTTTGTGGGGAAGAGTAAGGGTTCTGTTTCTTGATTGGGGTGATAGTTACTAACAGATAAATACACTGGTCAAAGTCAGCAAAGTGTGCACTTAAAATCTCTGCGTTTTATTTCATATGGTGAAGAAAAGAATAAAAGCTAAAATAAATTCTTGATAAAATAGTACATTAAATTACTTTAAAAAGTAACATCTGTATTAAAATCTTTATGTGCTATGGCCTTTATCATTAATTAAATAGAGAAACATGCTTTTGAATGTGTTTTCTTTGGGGCAAATTTGTAGTCATCTTTAGACTGAGGGTAACCTTGAATTTACATTTTTAGCAAAAAAGTTAAAGCACTGTATTTTAATATTGCTACCTTGTTTTAGAGAATTAATAATTTTAACTTGCTGGTTCAATTTTTAAGACGTCATTTAAACAAAAATGTCCTTTTTTGTTTGAATTTTCAGAATTGGTTTTATACCCTGGAATATTGAAACGGAAGTTCTGCCTCTCATTTCTTCTGTGTTACCAAGAACTATTTTTTCAACAAGTACCATATCTTTAGAAAATTTTGGTAAAGTTTTTGAAAATTTTTTTTATTTTAAAAACTATTACTAGTTTCCTCCAATTACATAAAAATCATTGATTTAGAAAAGCTATAAAGGTATAGTAACTCCCATATATTTCTGCAAATATTTAGGCAGTGGTTTAACTTTCCTTCTAACTAGAATCTAACTAGAATTCTAACTAAAATCATTCTAACTAGAGTATATATACATAGGGAGTGTAATGCAGTTCTGTAAAAAGAAATCCTGTCAGTTGTGACAACATAGGTGAAGCTGGAGGATATTACGCTGCTAAGTGCACAAGTTAGACACAGAAAGATAAAAATACTGCATGATCTCATTCATATGTGGAGCCTAGAAAAGGTGATCTCATACAACTGGAATGTAGAGCCATGGTTACTAAGAGCTGGGGTGCCTGAGGGATGGGGAGGTTGGGGAAGTGTTGGTCAAAGGATACAAAATTTCAGTGGGAAGAGTAAGTTCAGGAAGTTTATAGTGTCACAGTGGTGACCATAGTTTAATAGTCCATTTGACCCTTGAGCAACATGGGTTTGAAATTCATGGGTCTACTTGTACATGGATTTTTTTTCAATAAATACACTAAAAAGTTTTTTGGAGATTTGTGACAATTTGATAAAACTTGGAAACAATATAGCCTAGAAATATTAAAAAAATTAAGAAAAAGATATGTCATGACTGCACAAAATATATGTAGATACTAATGTGTTTTATCATTTAGTACCATAAAATATATACAAATCTGTTATATAAGTTAAAATTTATGGCTTGATGCCTGTGGCTCAAGTGACTAAGGCGCCAGCCACATACACCTAAGGTGGTGGGTTCGAATCCAGCCCGGGTCCACCAAACAACAATGATGGCTGCAACCAAAAAATAGCTGGGCGTTGTGGCGGGCGCCTATGGTCCCAGCTACTTGGGAGGCGGAGGTAGGAGACTCACTTGAGCCTAGGAGTTGGAGGTTGCTGTGAGCTGTAATGCCACGGCACTCTACCCAGGGGGACAGCTTGAGTCTCTGTCTCAAAAAAAAAAAAAAATTTATGAAAACTTAACACACAAATACAGCACTGCTCACTACAAACAAACATAAAGATGTAGGACTAAATCATAACTGCATAAAATTAACTATTACTGTGGTGAGTTCAAGTGTTGTGTCTGCTTAATGCATGTGACACTGATCATCTTCAAGTGAGACATTTTCCCCTCCAGTAAATTGTATATTGCAGTGAAAGGCAATATGTTTAGTGCAATACCATAAACCTTGAATAACACCATGGGACCCATTCAGAGTGCCACTAGAGATGCTGGAATGCTCTCAAGCAGAGAAAAGTTATGACATTATAAGAAAAAGTGGAATTGGTTGATATGTATTAGATTATTGAGGTCAACAGCTGCTGTGGCCCACCATGTCACACAGAAGATCCATCTTGTGAAAAAGTGATGTAAACTTAGGATATTGATAAATATGGTACAGTACTATAAATTTGTTTTCTATTTCTTACGATTGTCCTAACATTTTTCTTTCTGTACTTTATTGAAAGAATACGATATAAAATACTTACAAACATATGAGTCAGTCAACTGATTATATTTCCGTAAGGCTTCTGGTCAAAAAGGCTATTAGTTAATTTGGAGGAAGTCAGAAATTATACACCTATTTTTGATTGTGTGGGGAGTTGGTTCCCTGAAAACCTACATTGTTGAAGGGTCAATTGTATTATATTCTTGAAAATTGGCTAAGAGTGTGGATGGAAGGTGGTCTCATACACACATAACTATGTGAGGTGATACATGTTAATTAGCAAGATTCAGCCATTCCACAATATATATGTAGTTCTGAACATTATGTTGTACATGGTAAATACATATAATTTTATCTGCCAGTTTAAAAAAAAAATCCCAAGGAAAAGTTTGTTTTACAGTTTTAAGAAATTAACTACTTAAAGGCTTTGAAGTGCTGATTAGAGGAAGTCTCCTTTCTGTTTAGGGCTTTGGTGTCCAAACCACAGACTTTAGAAGTAATGTCTGTAAATTATGAACAAATACTTTGAGGCTTAATCAATGCATGGATAACTTGACAATTTTCTCTTTATCCATAATACTAAAAGCAAATAGCAGTTATCAGGCCCAATGTCATTTTCCCTTTTTGTTCCTCTAAAATTTTTCACATAGATCCACATTTGATTATAACATATTTCAGTGTCATTAAGAAAAAGCTGATGAACATCTCATGCTTCTCAGATGTTATTACCTATGCATTTAATCATACTTTGATTCATAAATGTTTTACTCTGTTACAGCCTTTTGTGTGCTAAAATTAGCTAAAGCCAAACTATTACTTCTTAAAATGCATTTACTTTTTAAAAATTTTGATATTCTTAGGTACTTCTTGCAAGGCATTAGCACATACCCAAGAAGGAGAAGAAAAGAAGCAAACTTCTGGTACATCGAATACCAGAGGGTCAAGACGAAAACCTGCAGCAACAACTCCTACAAGGAGATCTACACGCAACATGAGAGCTGAAACAGTCAGTCAGTCTCCAAAATCCCCAGTATCAAGCAGTTCAGGGTGTGATGCCCCAGGTAACAGTAATCCATCTGTAAGTGTTTCCTCTTTAGCTGAGTCAGAAAAGCAAACAAGACAAGCTCCAAAACGGAAGACTCTGAGAAGAGGAAGAAAACCACCTTTGTTGAAAAAGAAGCTTCGAAGCTCTGTACCTCCATCTGGAAAATCATCTTCCAATGATTCAGTAGATGAAGAAACAACCGAATCTGACATATCATCCATGTTAGAAAAAGAGCGCCAATCAGATGTAGAAAGTAGTAACACTTGTCCTGTGCAGACAGATGTAGAGAACCAGTCTAATTGCTTGAAAAGTTTCAGTGAACAAATAGACAGTGTGAAACATACTGAGAATAATAATGTAGAAGAAAAAGTAGAATCTTTATATTCTGAATCTTGTACTCAGGAGCCTCCTGTGCTAGTTGGAGAGGAAGAGGAAATTCAAAAACTGGAGGCTACAGATAGAGATGCTAATGTTTTGTGTTTAGAAAATGAGATTTCTGAAAATATTTTTGAAAAAGGGGATGATCTGATAGAAAATCAAGACCAGATATCTGGACCTTCAAAGTCAGAGGTAGAAGCAGATATGTGTATAGATCCTCCTGCAAATGATTTTCTGATATATACAGCATCTGAAAGTGAAGTACACCAACCTGAATCTAGTCCCCTAGGTGAGTTACCTGAGACCATAGAGTCCGTGGTTAAAGAAGAAAAAATGAGAGAGAATCCCATAGTAGAAATTATTAATCATAAAGATGCTACAGTAAAAATAGAAGAGCTTGTAGAGAGCCCCAAGTTAGAGTCTTTTCAGGGTGAAATTATACAAACAGCAGACAAAAAATCTATTGAGAACCTAGAGGTTCAATTGCTTGGGCATGTTAAAATTGATGATGATGCAGAAGTAATTGCAACATGTGATACTTCCAGGAATGAAAACATCAATAATACTCCAGGTTCTGAAAATAACCTATTAAAAAATGATCTTCTTAACACCAAGTTGGAAGAATCTTTGGAAGAAAAGAGTGAATCTCTGATTGAACATCCTAGCTCCACAGAGTTGCCTAAAACACACAGTGAACAGATTCAGAAGCATTTTAGTGAGGACAACAATGAAATGATACCTATGGAGTGTGATTCATTTTGCAGTGACCAAAATGAATCTGAAATTGAACCATCTGTAAATGCTGATTCTAAACAATTAAACGAAAACTCTGTGGCATACAGTTCTGAAAATAATGTCCCATCTTTTGGTCCTACAAATGAAAAGATTGAACCTATATCTCAACAATCTAACAGCTCAGTAGATATAACAGATAAAGCTAAAAAGCCTCGTACTCGAAGATCTAGATTTCATTCCCCATCTACAACTTGGTCTCCCAACAAAGATGCGACACAAGAAACGAAGCGGTCCCAGTCTCCATCTCCCAAAAGAGAAACTGGAAAAGAAAGCAGGAAGTCTAAGTCACCATCTCCTAAGAAAGAATCTGTCAGAGGACGGAGAAAATCCCGCTCGCAGTCTCCAAAAAAGGATATTGCAAGAGAAAGGAGGCGATCTCAGTCTCAGTCTCCAAAAAGAAATAGTACTAGGGAAGGCAAAAGATCTGAATCACCTTCCCCAAGAAGAGATACTTCTAGAGAGAACAGAAGATCTCAGTCAAGAGTGAAAGATTCCTCTCCTGGAGAAAAATCCAGGTCCCGGAGCAGAGAGAGAGAAAGCGATAGAGATGGACAGAGGAGAGATCGAGAAAGAGAAAGGAAGACCAGAAGGTGGTCTAGGTCCCGATCTCATTCTAGGTCTCCTGCAAGATCCAGAGCAAAAAGTAAGAGTTCATCGTTTTGTAGAAACGACAGAGAGAGTTACTCACCCTGGTGGAAGGAAAGATGGACAAATGATGGTTGGAGATGTCCACGAGGAAATGATCGGTACAGAAAGAATGACCCAGAGAAACAGAATGAAAATACAAGAAAAGAAAAGAATGATTTTAATCCAGATGTGGAGGATCCAAATTCTGCTGACAAATATAGAAATGACTGTCCTAATTGGGTAACAGAAAAAATAAATTCTGGGCCTGATCCAAGGACCAGACATCCAGAAAAGTTGAAAGAGTCTCATTGGGAAGAAAATAGAAATGAAAATTCAGGGAATTCTTGGAATAAAAACTTTGGTTCAGGTTGGATGTCAAACCGTGGTAGAGGAAACCGTGGACGAGGCACTTACAGAGGTAGTTTTGCCTATACAGACCAACATGAAAATAGGTGGCAGAACCGCAAACCCCTCTCAGGGAATTCAAATAGTTCAGGGAATGAGTCTTTCAAGTTTGTGGAACAGCAGCCCTATAAACGAAAAACTGAGCAAGAGTTCTCATTTGATACACCTGCAGATAGATCGGGGTGGACTTCTGCATCTAGTTGGGCTGTGAGAAAGACTCTGCCAGCAGATGTACAAAACTATTATTCACGACGAGGCAGGAATTCTTCAGGTCCACAATCGGGATGGATGAGACAAGAGGAAGAGACAACTGAACAGGGTAATACAGTCTCTGTTTCTTTATTGATGCTATTTTAGTTGAAGAAGGGCTATAAGTTTAATATCTTATTTGTATGAATTGAACTGATTGTTTTTTTTTTAATATTTAAAAATATAAAGGAATGATTTAATAAAAATATGCTATGATATACACCAATGAAAACAATATTTTCAAGAAAATTTCAATATATTGGAAATATATATATTAAAGAGTTAAGAGATAATATTCTATTATAAAATCACATATGAATATGAATTCAATTAAGTAAAAAATAAAAACAAGCAAAAACATAAAACATAGAGAAAGAAACATATTTTTTTTTCTTTTCTTTTTTTTTTTATTGAATGGTAACTATGTACATTAATGCACTTTGAACTGATTGTTATTTGTAGTTTTATGTTAAAATGAACCTCAGTTGTTTATAAGTCACTTTGCATTTTATATAAATGTGTATATACATACATTTATGTACACTTAAAATACATATTTTAACCCTAACCCTGCTCCAAACCTTGCCAAAGACTTAAATATTTCATGTACTATTTGCTGCAGTAAAAGAATTTGGGGTGTTCCTATGCAGGTTTAACTTACTTAATTCAGATGTTTGCATTTTTTAAAATTATTTTTCTCATAAAAGTAAGTGTTCTAAAAATAAAGACTTATTTTTCCTTATGGTTCTTGTTCAGAACATTGCAAGAATCAGCTGGGCAATAGTGAGACCCTGTCTCTACTAACGTAGAAAAAACTAGCTGGGTATCATGGTGGATGCCTGTAGTCTTAGCTACTCAGGAGGCAGAAGGAGCTGCAAGAAAAAAGCTGTTCAAGATATAAAAAAATTGATTAACCTTACTTGTAATTTTGTAACTAAGTTTTGTTTTATGTGATTTTTTTTAATCTAGTCAGTTTCTTGAGCAACTAGTTATTTGCTCATGTTGACTTATGTTATTGTATGAACTTACTCTTTTTTTTTTTTTGCAGTTTTGGGCTGGGGCTGGGTTTGAACCCACCACCTCCAGTATATGGGGCCAGTGCCCTACTCCTTTGAGCCACAGTTACTGCCCTGAACTTATTCTTAAAAATAGTTTTATTTGTGGGTGGTGCCTGTGGCTCAGTGAGTAGGGCGCCAACCCCATATACCGAGGGTGGTGGGTTTGAACCCTGCCCCAGCCAAACTGCAGCAAAAAAATAGCCGGGCATTGTGGCGGGTGCCTGTAGTCCCAGCTACTCCAGAGGCTGAGGCAAGAGAATCACCTAAGCCCAGGAGTTGGAGGTTGCTGTGACCTGTGATGCTATGGCACACTACCGAGGGCAATAAAGTGAGACTCTGTCTCTTAAAAAAATAATAATAATAAAATAATAATTTTATTTGAATGTTTTTGTTTTTTTTTTAGTTAGAAAATCAGTGTACATTATTTAGGAACAACAGGATTAAATGAATTAATTGGAGATTGGCTTTGTTCCACTGAGTCTGTTTATTGCTATTTAATTTGACTGTAACCAGTAGTTCTTTGCTTCTGTGTTTAAAGAGATAATATAACATGACTTCTTCACAAGTTCTTTTTCTTTTGGTAGATTCTAACCTGAAAGACCAAACAAACCAACAAGTTGATGGTTCTCAGCTACCTATAAATATGATGCAACCACAAATGAATGTAGTGCAGCAACAGATGAACGCACAGCAGCAGCCTATGAATATTTTCCCATACCCAGTGGGTGTTCACGCTCCCTTGATGAACATCCAGCGTCATCCATTTAACATTCACCCTCAGCTACCCTTGCATCTCCACACAGGAGTGCCTCTTATGCAGGTAGCTGCTCCTGCCAGTGTATCTCAGGGACTGCCACCACCACCGCCTCCTCCCCCACCCTCCCAACAAGTCAGCTACATTGCTTCACAACCAGATGGAAAGCAATTGCAGGTATGTTTTTAGCAACTTAAGTTTAATCAATACCATTATAAACATTTTAGCTATTAAGAACAGACCTTCAAGAAAGGGAATCCTGGCAGCCAAAAACAGTTGTTTAGGGGCCGGGCAAGGTGGCTCATGCCTGTAATCCTAGCATTCTGGGAGTCTGAGGTGGGTGGATTGCTTGAGCTCAGGAGTTTGAGACCAGCTTCAGCAAGAAGAGCAAGACCCCATCTCCATGAAAAACAAAAAATTAGCCAGGCGTTGTGACAGAGCCTATAGTCCCAGCTACTCAGGGAGTCTGAGGTAAGAGGAACTTTTAAGCCTAGGAGTTTGAAGTTGTTGTGAGCTATGACGTAATGGCACTCTACCCAGGTCGAAAGAGTGAGACTCTGTCTCAAAAAAAAGAAAGAAAGAAAAGAAACCATAATTGTTTATTTGATTGCAATTTTATTAAACCTTCATAATCCCTCTTTCACTGTCCTTCTCTAAATCCTCAGCCCCCTAATAAATTGAATACATTATCATCAGATCTAAGCCACACTGTGCTGTTACTTATACCTAAACAGTTTTGTTAGATTAAGATGACCAAATTATGGGCCAAACTAGAATCAAGTGGTGGGTGCTATAAAATCATTATTTGTTTCATTGGATTTTTGGAGTGATGGAGTGGGAACTAGTAACTAAGTACTGTGATAAAGCTTGTATTATTGAGAAAAACATTAGATAAAGCTGTTCATTATCCATTACCACCTGTGTTTCATTTTCATGAACTTAACTAGCTAAAGGGGAAGAAGTACCCCAAGACAGAAAATTTGAATAATTTGCAAACATTTTGTTAGTTACAATTTGATGTTTGCGTTATAAAAAATCCAGAATCCTGACAATTATATGTAGTTGGAAGAATAGGAAAATGGGATTTTAGAATTTGGGATCTTACATCTTTTTCTGCTGTCATCTAACTGCAGGCCATTTGCCTTCACTGCTTCTCTCTTTGTTTTTAGTTACTGTCAGAACATTACAGTACACATTTATAATTTTAAAGCCATCTTGACATATCTAAATTAGGCTCTGTCTAAGAATGTTATTTTTCTTCAAATAGCCCTTTAGCTATAAATGACCTGAATTATGCATTTCTCTTAAGCACTAAGGTAGATTTGCTTTATATTTTTTAATGTTATTTTTGAGAAACGATTAAGACTTTATTGCATACAAGTGAGCTGTTGACTGATGATAACTTTTTAAAACAGGGTATTCCTAGTTCTTCTCATATAAGTAATAACGTGAGCACACCAGTCTTGCCTGCTCCGACAGCAGCCCCAGGAAATGTGGGAACGGTTCAGGGACCAAGTTCTGGTAATACTTCGTCATCAACTCACAGCAAAGCCTCTAATGCTGCTGTAAAATTGGCAGAAAGCAAAGTAAGTGTTACTGTGGAAGCCAGCGCAGATAGCTCGAAGACAGACAAGGCAAGTTCAAGGTTGAGAGCAACCTACATAATTCTGTATATGATAAAGATGAAAAATACCAGTTTTGTATTATATGAATGTGAAGGGAATTTATTATTGGCAGTCTTACATCCTAATATTGTTTGAGGGACCTGTCTAAAATTCACTGATGCTCAGTGAATTACTAGTAATATTTCATAAATAACTGTTCTGTGTTTGTCACACTAATATTTGAGGAGTTTCTTTTAATAATGTAAATGTGCAGTATTTGTAAAGAAGCTTTTTGAAAGTATTTGATTAGCAAATAATAATTACACGTTTTCTTCTCCTAGAAACTGCAAATTCAAGAAAAAGCAGCACAGGAGGTAAAATTGGCCATTAAGCCATTTTACCAAAATAAAGACATCACGAAGGAAGAATATAAAGAAATTGTACGGAAAGCAGTAGATAAAGTAAGTTACAGCTTTAGTGGAGTAAAAGCACTTCTTTTAATAAAGGGATGCTTAAGTTAAAATAATAAAAGCTAACTCCTACTAATTCTTGTCTGCCTTTTTACCTTTTGTTCACGTGAGATAGAAATGTGAAAATAAGTCTGGTCTCTTTGGGGTTGTTTTTCACAAAGCTTTCCATTTTGCTTTAATCCCTTTAAGCTTGAAAAAAGTTTTCCCCCCCGTTTTTTCTTAGGTTTGTCATAGTAAGAGTGGAGAAGTAAATTCTACTAAAGTGGCAAATCTGGTTAAAGCCTATGTAGACAAATACAAATATTCACGGAAGGGAAGCCAAAAGAAAACTCTGGAAGAACCTGTGTCTACTGAGAAAAACGTAGGCTGAATGGGGGAGCGCTATAAAGGACATTATCAAGAAATCTGCAAAGTGCAATTTCAACGTGTACCATTAACTCAAAATCAGACATAACTGTGATTGAAATTTGGTTTTGATAAAATTATTTTTTTTAACATAGGATATAATGTTTTGTTCTAAATAAATATAGTTCTGCACTGCAACTTCTATATTATTCCTTCCCTCCCCCTGAAAAGAAAATTTCAAGGGAAAGCAAAGGGTTTAAAGGAATGTGCATTTTTACTAGGACTGTCTTACAGTGTGGATACTGGAAATGTACAGCTTTTGATTTAAAAAAATGGAGTGCATAAATTAGAAACTTCTACGTGCACTGGTTTGGAAGAGATATATAGATATATATATATATACACACACATAAATGCATTTATTCTGTCAGGCTAAAAAATAAAGTATGAACTTTATATGATTTTTCCCTTTAATTATAGAAAGTTAAATAATGTATTACCATGAAAAATAGAATTTCTAATATTAAGTAGAGCATACCAATTACAGTTCCTAATGTGTATTTTTACAGGACATATCTGAGTAAATTGTTGAGATAGGAAACAAATTATCATGAGTAAAATTTAGTGTTCAAAACTTTGAGATACTCTTCACCTATTGTGTGACCAAATAAAGGTTATGCTGCTTGTTTTTTCTTTTGTGCCTTTTTTCCTCTATTGAGATGAAGCTGTCTAATTTGATAGATTACAATGTTGGCAGTTCAAAGTCTTTGTTGATGATCATTTTGGAAAAAGTGTTGATTTGGCAGAGATCATGTTTCTTCATAATAGCTTCTACACATCAGAGATGATAAATTTGTGCCAACCACAGAATTGCTATTAAGTTGTGACTCTTTTCCTCCTTGGGACTGAGGTGGAATTTCCAGACTCACTGCACTGGCTTCAGGTTGTTGCTCATCTATCTAATTGCTAATGAAATTTCTTCTCACACTCAAATACTTGAAAGGAATAAAGTGTAATTTGGTGATTATATGTTGGCTGTTAGCCATATTGCAAAATTCTGGACATTAAAACTTGTGTTTTGGAAGAGGAGAAAATTGAATAATGAAGTCTTAGTTAGGTTTTCAGGGATTAGGAATTTGATTATTTTTTAAAACTAGAGTATGTTAATTTTCCTAAGAGGTAAGTCTAAAACGTTCATAGCTCCATTATTTTAATTGGCATCTTGGAAGAAAACATCGAGTTCTCTCCATGATAAACTTTCATTCTAGTAACAATTTTTAGTAGATAACCAAATAACTGGAAAGCCGTACAGGTAAGATGTTAATGGATCCAAGGGAGAGACATGTCTTGGTGAGATAAACTGATCCTTTTACTAGCTAAACATTTTAGTGAGAACAGTATACCCTCTAGGACTGTGCTTTCCTAAAGTAAAGATTACCTGTTTCTTAATTTTATGTGCATAATACTTTGCTGGTGATAGCTTTGATAGGCAAAATATTTTGAAATGTTGGCTTCAATTATGATTGTGCTAGGCCATAAGCTTTTTAGGTCATGATTATAATCCTAAAAATACTTCCAAGCAGTTTTGGATCTTCATTCTACATTTCTGGGCATTTGTAATAATGGTTATTTTACTGACATATGTATTTTAATTAAATTTTTTGTTCAGATTGTGTTGGGGAAAGAAGTTTGGAGTCTGTTTTGTCTAAGAAATTTTAGAATATTAAGAGAGTGTTTCAAATATTCAACACACACCTCAGTTTGGTTTTTTTTTTTTTTTTTTTGGTTTAGAACTCTAGAAACAGTTGTAAGAACTTTAAATCTATTTTGTGTTAAAGCTGGTTCATACTTTTCGTGCATTTTTTTCCCACTGATATTTGCGAATTTGTTGACATTTTAAAATTTGCTTATACCAGTTAGCTTTTGCAAACAAATTTTAAAGTTTTAGAGAAAAGCTGTGTGGTGTCATCAAGAGTCGCACTCTCATCTTTGGTAACACTCTCATGAATTGCTTCCACATTTCTTGAAAATAACAAGTGTGTGTCCTGTATCTGATTGGGGCACTGATTAGTTTGCATTTAAAATAGCTAATGAAGAATATTACTGGATTAGAATTCAACCTTTTCAAATTCTGAAATGTTTAAGAATGTATTAGAAGCATGCTTTATGTTGAAAAAATATGTTGCATTAACATTCCCCATTCTTACATTTTTAAAAAGAAATTCACATTAATTTTGCATGTGCTTTGAATCAGAAACATTTTGTGTGGTTACATATTGTTATTTTTCGAGATTCAGTATTGACCTTTCAAACCTTGGTCCCTTTAACTTACTAGTCATATTGACCTATGTTTTAGGCTGTAGAATGACTAGAATTTTGAGACATAGTGGTTGTCTATGATTTTAACATTCCTGAAAGTTTTGTGATTTTTTTTGTTTGTTTGTTTTTGGTTATTACCACATTCTCTTTATTACCTTCCTTTAAATGGTTACAGTGTGTACAGTTTGTTCCATCCAAAAGATGTAGCTTCAGAAGCACAGGGCTTGCCCCAGGGTCCATGAGACATTGTTTGTAGAATGAGGTTGGAGTGCTGTCTACTGAAATAATACTCTTAATTATGTAGTGTGTAATATTTTCTAATAAATTCTTTTGATAAACAAAGTAGTGTCTTTAACATTTTATTGTGAAGGTTCCTGGGAAAATGGTGACTTCTACTTCATTATAACCCTTTTCAAACATGTGTTGCCCCGGTGCCTGTGGCTCAGTGAGTAGGGTGCCAGCCACATAGACCCTAGCTGGTGGGTTCGAGCCTGGCCCTGGTCTGCTAAACAGCAATGACAACTACAGACAAAAAATAGCTGGATGTTATATTGGGTGCCTATATTCCCAGCTACTTGGGAGGCTGAGGCAAGAGATTGGTATAAGCCCAAGAGTTTGAGGTTGCTGTGAGCTGTGACATCACAGCACTCTACTGAGGGTGACAAAGTAAGACTCTCAAAAAAAAAGTGTTGAAGTGTTTGTTGGATTTGTAACAAAGTCACTAGCATCATGTTTACATTAATGTCCAAGCTCTAAAATATGATTAGAGAGTTAGCTGTAAGCATACATTTTAATAGCTTTCCCCCTACTTAATTATTGAGGGAAATTAGGTAAAATTTAGCAAATTTCTAAAAAAAAAGGGACGAGATTGATAAAAAGAGAAAAATCACCTGTAATCCTGCCACAGGTAATAACTTCTGCTTGATGGAGTGGCTCACACCTCTAATCTGGGAGGCCGAGGTAGGAGGATCAGTTGAGGCCAGGAGTTCAAGACCCTCCTCAAAAAAGATAGAAAAACTAGCTGGGGGTAGTGGCACATACTTTAATCCCAGCTACTCAGAAGGCTGAGGCAGGAGGATGTATGTACATTGCTTAGCACAGCATCTGACAGTCAAACATTTGGCAAAATGTTAGTGACCAGTTTAAAACAGCATCTTCAAATCTGGAAACAGTTTTAGATGTCCATTGGTAAGAAGTCTTAAATAAATCATGGTACATCCATTGTAGTTGACTACATCACATAGTTGTATAAAAAGATGAAGCCCTTGGTGGTGCCTGTGGCTCAGTAAGTAGGGCGCTGGCCTCATATGCCAAGAGTGGCAGGTTCAAACCCGGCCCCAGCTGAACTGCAACCAAAAAATAGCCAGGCATGGTGGGCGCCTGTAGTCCCAGCTACTCGGGAGGCTGAGGCAAGAGAATCGCCTAAGCCCAGGAGTTGGAGGTTGCTGTGAGCTGTGTGACACCATGGCACTCTATCAAAGGCGACAAAGTGAGACTCTGTCTCTCCCCCTGCCCCCCAAAATGATGAAGCTCTTAATGATTGGAAGGACATTATGATACTACATTTTTTACAAAGTGCAGCAGTGTTTATATTTTACTAAGAACGTTCACCTGGATTTCTATGTGACACACAGCATAAGGAGTACCCAAGATACCTGAATGGTGGTTATCAGGCAGCCGGGTGGGGGGCGGGGGAGAAATCCAGCATATGAGAGTGAGACTTTTCATTAAAAATGTAAAAAGCTTCTTTCTAAAACACAAATGTATCTAATGTGGGATGTATTACACACTGAAATCCACAGGAATCAGGAGTTGGCTTAATGGTAGCCTTTGCTCTTACTGTTAAATATAGTCTTACTAAAGGAAATGTATCTGCTTACCTAAGTAGATGATGGTGTGCCTTAGCATTTCTGATTCATATACAAGGTTATTCTAGACTTTTTACCAGCGGAAATAAGGATATGTAAATGCAACGAGTTATAAATACCAGTGTAGTAGAGAAAGTTGTATGACTGGCTGTAATATATTAGAAAGTGGTGCTTTTTTGTTGGCTTTGTGGGCTGTGGAGATGGCTAGTGTAGTTAAAATTCTGAGCATCTGAGTGACTTTTTTGTACTATGACGAGACTTCCTTTGGATAAATATTGGAGATATGTATTTTTCAATTTACTATTTGGTAAAACCCACCAAGAGTCAAGCACCAGGTGTCCCTCCTGGTCAATCTGACAGCTCCGTTCCTCAGCAGCTTCTGCTTTGGTGATAAAGAACATCATGTTTTTTTGGTGTTTGGTACTTTGATTACAGTGATTAATATCAAGACAGAACTCACTTATCCAAAACATTCTCATTTAAAAAATCATTTTTATTGTCATTTTATGGTTAAAAAAACATACATGGCATGACTATAAAGTAATGAGACGAGTTTTCACATGTGGCTTGGATTACTTGAGTCTCATTAATATATAGTCACATCCTGTCTCGAGTTTGGAAGAAAAATATGCCTTCCTATATGATTATCAATTTTGTCATTTAAAATTTATTGAGTGCCAACAGAGCACTAGGCACATATATAACACGGAATTGTACAGTTTCTATGTTGTAGACTATATTATTTACATAGATTTCTCAAA